AACCTGGCATCCATCAGCTGAGCGTATGGAAAAAGTCTAACCCGTTGCAGGTGGCTCAGGTGTATTGAACCCTGATTCCACCCAAGGACAGGATGAAAGTAATGTTGACAGAGCTTGGGATTTTCCAGTGTAAGTAAAAGGAGTAAGTAAACACTGAAATTATGGATTTTGTCCATTAATTATCCTCAAGGCCTGAAGAAGGAGACCAGATCTGTCACAGCAGAGATGCAATATTAGTGAGCCCCAGACAGAGGAAATGATCATTGAATCTGTCCCATTACAAACAGGAAGAAGGGATGTAATGGCTTTCTCCCATGACACCAGTGGACACTTCAAAAGCCGGTATCACCTTCCACATCTAGACATGTGGTGAAAGCAGAGCACCGGAATGACACAGCTAAATGATGAACAGACCAGGAAGCAGCAAGCTGGAAAAAGGCTGTTTGGAACACACACAGGCAGGAGGGCTGCTGTACTTGGCAGCTGCTCCATCCAGGCACTTTCTGGAGCAGAGTAGCCTCAAGGGAAAACTGCCCTTCTTCCATAGTTTGAGAGGGAAAAATGGGATCCATTGCAATTTCCATTCCTCAACCTTGTATTTGTCTTACTGATTACAGCCTGCAGTGCATTTTCATTAACTAATGGCCCTAAAAGCAGCAGTGACCAATTTAGGATTAATGGGCCATTTTGAGTAGGCAGCTGTATTGGTGGCAAATCTAACCTAATTTTTATTTACTTCAGACACAATCAGGAACAAGTGACAAAATTCCATCAAAATCGTTTGGATCAACTCTTGAGACAGATAAAGCCTGACTCCTTCCAAATCTCTTTCAGTAAACACAAGGCACGGGTGGAGTCTACATTCAAGACAGGAGACTCAGGACATGTTTACAGGAGGCTCTGGAGCATGCCCTCAGGGAAGGGCATCCAGGTCTGTCCTCATAAGTGAAAACAACATCCATGTGGCAATCAAGGGAATGCAGAAAGACAGACCATATGCACAAAGGCTGTTCCTGAGCATAAGCAGCTCTATAGTAGTTGAAACTGGCCTAAAAGACCTGGCAGGAGGTGTGCTATGCCTTGTGAGCTTACACCTCTCTGTCCTCTGCCTCACCACACAATACACGCTGGCAGCACCACTTCTTCAGGTTCTTCAGCCAGCTGTGCAGAAAAAGATGTTACCAACACACATTGCCACCAGTCATGCTGACTGGCAACTTTTATGAGGATTTTGTACAGCCCATCTCAGAAACAGTGTTGGCATTTGGTCGGGCCAAAACATGTTCAGCCATGGGTTTCTCTCATTCCTCTTCTTCAGCAGTTCCTTGCTACAGAGCTTAGAATGACTGTGCATGAATGGAATGATTGAATGCTCAAGAAGGCTTGAGCTGCAGTAACAGCCTCAGCTTCTGCTGATCTGGGTTCATCTGCCTGCTCTGTACTGCAAAGATCCCTGCACCTGAAAGTGCTTACCTTGGCTGCTTCTGCACACTCGTTAGCGAAGAGACCCCAGTGAAATGAAGCACCGAAGAACAGAAGTGCATGTTTTCAAGTACTAGCCACAAAGAGAGCAACACCTGAATGGCCAAGGTGTAACAAGAGAACAGCACAAAACACTGAACAGAGGAACCTCCCTTTCACTGATACCTTTGCCCCTACGCTTCTGCCAATGCAGGGACCAAGGGCAAATGAGATGCTGGGAAAACATGAAACTAATAACAGGCGCCAAAAAGCTGTCACACAGAATCAGTCTAAAGAGCATTTTGTTTCCTTTTCTGGCTGTGACAATAACCAGGTGTAACAAAAGGAAGAGAATGAGATACATGTGTATCCTGGACAGTTTGAGCCTTCACTACCATTTACCCTCCCCACTGAGTGGAACAGCAACTTTCTGAGCTGTCAGCCAAACCCAAACTGTAGTGGCTGATCATCATTCTGGAATGTGTTTGCTTTCAATTTCTCTAGCCCTCCTTCAAAGATATTTGTTGTCTGTCTTGACAACCACTGTGGGAATCTACCATATGCTCATTATTTCTTTTTGTTTAAGCCTTCAATCCGTTCCTGTCAGTGTTGTTTGGCTTTAGCTGTCTCCTGCACTTAGTGCTATGTCAGTCTTCAAAAGGAGAAAAGCAGGTAACAGACTGTCCATGTCACACAGCTGCAGTGTGCATTAGGTTGTGATAAGGGTTTTTGTGCCTGCTGTTGCCAACCTCCAGAGCTTCCATAAAGGACACCAGGGTAGAAATGGGGTTCTGAGGAAAACAGCACAGAATTACAAACAAAATTATCACTTTTCATGGCTAGTCTTTGGAGGGGGTCCATTTGGATCAGGGGCCCCAAAGAGCAGTGTCTACTTCACAAATAATTAACAGCTGGGGGGCTCAAGCTTCCCTCTGCTCCCCTCACAACTCCCTGGAACAGATTTCTGCTTTACTACTCACAACCAATATTTTCTAAGGAAACCATTCTGACCACTTATCTTCTTCAAATATGCCTCATCCAACCTGAAGAAGCAGGAGTTAGAGGTCTGGAAGCCCTTCCAGCCAAAGTGAGCAGGGACCCAGGGGCAGTGAAGATGTCAACAGTTGTCAGGACAAGAGACTATCTGTGTGGGGAGAAGAGTCAGGATTTGAGAGCAATGTTTCTGCCATCCAAATCTAAGCCTCTTTAAAGTTGCAGGAGAAGACACATTGCATTTGTGTCTGGAAACCTCCCTAACAATCCAAGCTCCCCTCTTTTGCTTGCACGCTTGAGAGTATCAATCTCATGAGAAAGACACCATCATTCCCAAAGGATGAAATACAGTATTTTCCATGTGGAAACCTGTTTGGAACACTGCCTCCTACATCATGGTGCCCTAATGCAACTAAATGTACAATTTAAATTACATTTGGACTTGCTGATGGCAAAAAAAAAAAAAAAAAAAAAAAAAAAAAAAAAAAAAAAAGGGGAGTTACTGCATTCATTTTGGATAAGAGCTTCAAAGAAAACATACTGCAAACATGAAGTGAGCTTTCCATCCAGAAGAAATTAGATACAAACCTCAGATCCATGCCAGGGTTTCATCTACGTTTTTCTTCAACAGAAAGCAAAGGACATTTATTTTTTATTCACATGCTTGTGTCCACAAGTTCAGAGCTTTGTTCTTTAGGAAGCTGGGCTATACCTAACAAATAGAGAGGAGCTATCAGTTGCCATGGGCACTGCTTAGCTCTGGTGTTACTTCCAGACACAAACTATTGTCCTGCCCAGGGAAAGGTTATCCATCTCTAGAAGTCTCACTGCACATAAGCTGAGAACCCTGCCTTATTGCTACGACTGGAAGAATGACTAACAAATTATTATTACTATGGTAATGATATTATTGCTGGTGGTTCTTAAGCAAAGTCTCTGAGTAATAGAATAACTGTAGGGCTGAGTTTTCATTGCTACTTGTTAGCTGTGCATGGAGAAAGAAAATTCCTTTAGGAAAATTCTGATACTTTTCTGAGAGCTGTTTCATAGCAGCTCTCACTTGCCTTTCTTTCTCATAAATGCACACAGTGTGAACTGTGAAAACAACATAGATTATGTCAACTAGTTTGTTTTCCTAGACTAGACTGACGCTGTAAGTTCAACATTTTTATTGCTTTAGCAGGAAAGAGAATTTCAAGCAGAAAAAAAAAATCTAATCATCTATTCAGAGAAGCCATAAGCCACCATTATCCAGTAGTATCACTGAGACGCCTCTGTAATGCATAAACCATAGCAGAGTGATGACAGACTGCACTTTCCTGAATGAAATGAGAATGAACCATAAACACTCATATGAATCTTTTGGGGGATATCCCATTACTGCAGGAGATAATGGCCAATATTGCATGCAATTTTGTGGTTTTAAATGATAGCAAACTATCAGTTACAGGCTAATACTAATAAGAAACCATTCCTTTGCCAGAAGGATTGCTCCTTGTAGCTTATCCTGTGTTCCCTCCAGTATATGTTTTCTATAACACTTCTGTTGAATCTGAAAACCACTATGTGATTACATGCTGTATTGTTATAATTTGAGCCCCTGGGTACTGTGTTAGTGATGAGCTTTTCTTTAAGCTGTTCTTTTATATTTCTTTCAAAAATATTATCTTCCTCCAATTTCCACAGAGAACCTTAATTATTAAGAGTACAGCCTCTACCAAATGCTGTTGATTCAAACAGTCAGAATTTAATCACAACAAAGGTGTTAAAGAGGGAGCATGGCGTGAGTGCAGTAAGACACAGTTTTTAATTTTTTTTTTTCTCTCACACTAAATTTGCCCGTGGTCTTGCACAAGTCTTTGAACTGCCTTTTTCCTACGGTATGCTAAGACATGTTTATAGAATCACAGAATGATCATCAAGGTTGAAAGAGACCTTTAGGATCATCCAGTACATGTGTCCATCCAGCACTGCCACGGTAACACCTAACCCACATCATCCAGAGCCAGAGGCCTCATAAACACCCCAGGGATGGTGACCCCACCATCTCCCTGGGCAGCCTGTTTCAATGCCTGACCACACCCTGAATTTTTTTTTTTTTTCTAATATGTAATCTGAATCACTCCTGTCTCATTTTAAGGCCATTCTCTCTCGCCCTCTCACTGCAGGCCCGGTAGAAGAGACCGGCCCCCGCCTGGCCACAGGCTCCTTTCAGGTGCTTGTAGAGAGCCATGGGCTGCCCCATGAGCCTCCTTTTGGACGTTCAGCCCCTTGAGGGGAAAAAACCTTACCTTAATTTCTTCCTCAGTTTTAACCTTCATCCACCAACCTGACTAAACTCTACTGAGACAACCCCCAGCCTTGTTTCTGGGCTGTCACTAATCTGTACGACCTGCACTTGCCGATTCCAGAGACCTTTCCCACCCCAGCTAATCCGGAGTTCCGCGACCCGCGCCGGGCGGGGCGAGGCAGGGCGGGCGGAGGGCGGCGCTGAGGGCCGTGCCCGCCCTCCCGAGCCGGGCGGTGCGGAAGCGCAGGCGGCCGGGGCTGCGTCCCCGCCGGACCCCGGGGGGCGGAGCGAGAGCCCGGGCACGGCGGCATTCTCCGGCGCGGCCGTCGCCGGGCTGCTCCATGGAGAAGCGGGGCCCGGTGCTGCACATCGTGGTGGTGGGCTTCCATCACAAGAAGGGCTGCCAGGTGAGGGGTGCGGGTGTCCCTTGCCTCTCCGCTCCGCTCTTGCTTCCTCCCGGCCCTCTCCCGGTCCCCTCCCCCGCGCCGAGCGGCGCCTGCCCGGTTGCGGGAGCCGCCGGCGGAGGGGCGCGTCCCGCGGGGCCGGGGGGCTTCGCTCTGCTCAGGGGGCGGTGGAGGACGGGCTGGGAGCCGGCGAGGCCTCGCTTGGCCGCGGCCTCCCCCGGCCGGGGGATGCCTGGCTGGGCCGTGACTCGGCTCGCCCCGGGCAGTTCGTGGCCATGGAGCTGCCTCCATTCCCGCCCCGCCTCGGCGCTCCCGCCGGGAGCGAGGCGGAGCGAGGGCCGGCGGGGTGAGCTCCGGGAGTGAGGGGCCACGGCGCGCCCCGTGGCACCGGGTGTCTTTCGAGTCGTGCGTGCTTGATGCGTTCAGACGGAGAATCCTGAGGAAAAAACTCCAAATGGTGTTTTAATCTACCTTCCTCTATCCCTGCCGGCCCATCACTGAGTGCTCAGGTATAGCTTGTACCAAACAGCCCCAGGGTAATTAGCCTATCCTGGATTTAAGTTTTCTTTCCCTGTCTCTTTCCCGCTTTCATAAATGCTTGACTGTTTCATGTGGCCTGTAAGGTAGAAGGATTTTGTCATGTATTGCATAGCCGGTTTATGTTGTGATTGTTTTAATTTATTTTTAACCCTTGAAGCAGGAGATGCGGTTGCCCAGCTGGGCTGCACACACAGTTGCTTTGCTGTGACAAGAGGAGATAGACATAATGTTGGATTTCCAGCGGGTCTTCCATATGAGTTCTTGGCATTTATAAAAATTGCCAAGACATAATGAATGTGATGGCTATTGTTATACAAGGGTTGATCTGACGTAAACACATTCCATACAAGGTAGCTGAGAATTAAATTATTGCTTCAGCAAAATATCCAAGCACAATTCCTCAGAGGCTAAGGTGCAACAACTCAATTTCTGAAAGATGTGCATGGTTTTCAAATGCATCCTTTCTCCTCAGGGTGTCTGGGTGCTGTTCACATATGGATGTTGACAGGATCAGTTCCTGTGAAGTAATTAGATCATCTGAGTTGTGAAGTTTGTGATATTTATCAGGCACTTTCTTGTCAAACACTGTTACAAGGTGAGCCTTAGTTGGATATCTGTAGGAGGAAGAGCATATTCTCTCCTTGTTGCTTGCCTCTTGGAAAAGACCTAGGCTTTTGTTTATTCTGTTCTTCTGGAATGTGTATTAATTTTCTTGCACATTAAGTGGTGTTGATACAAGGGGAAAAAAAAAGAACAAAAAACCCAATCAAACCCCCAGACTATAAATTGGTAGCATTTTAATTTTATTTTTTTGCCAGTAAAATGTTTATCGAAGTACATTTTGAGGTGTTGTCAAAAATTAGGTCGGAATACCTCTGAACTGAAGTTTTCTTTATCTCAAGAAATGACCTGGAGAAGCTGGAGAGGAAGGCAGTTTGGGAAGGTGACAGGGTAGCTGAGTCACAGAGAGGAGAACTGCAGGAATAAAGTGACAGTCAGTAGAACCACAACCAGGCTTCCTAAGGGAAAGCTAAACAGAAATCTAATATTTAAATATATCCTACTTCTGACTTGGCAGATTTTTTACTGAACTATGGAGAATGTTTCCTAAAAGAGCTGGAGGCGAGGAGTGGCACAGCTATAGCCTAATGAGTTTGACATTAGTAGTATGCAAGACTCTAGAGAATTTGTGAAGGAAAGAATTAATTAACAACATGAAACTAAGTAGACTGGGTCCTATGTGCATTTGCTAAAGATAGATCATGCCTGACTGACCTGCATCTTGTGTAAGAATAAGTGATTAAATTCCTTTCTCTGTGAAAGAAATGGAGTAACTCTAATCTGCTGGGAACTTGATAACAGATCACACTTATTCTTAAGGCAGAGATACAGGAGAATTAGTGCAAGAGCTGGTACTTGGGTAAAGAGTGGTATGAAGGAGAGGAAGCAGAAACAGATTTCAGTCAGAAGAGGAACTATTGGTTTGAAAGGTACTCGCAAGAAGTGTTTCTCAAGATTGAAAGTGGTGCTGGTATTGTTTACACCATAAAATTGAGCTATGGTGAGCAAACTCAAGGAATCAGTATTTCAAAGGAAAACTGGAAAGTTGTGCAAGAGCTGGACAATAAGGAATACTGGATTGATAAAAATGGGGTGCCTTATGAAGTTGTGCAATGGGAATAAATAATAACAGTGTAAGCTTGGGAATTGACACGAGGAAATGTCTGGAAGAGAAATGAGACCATACGTGATCAAGGCTAATTTACCAAAGTAGTGTTATTTGAGGGCAAAGATGACAATGTATGTAATCCTATTGTGTGATAATATGTGTATCAATGCATATAAATTCTGATCCACTTTTCAGAGAAAGGGATTTGAATTCTCTCTTCCAGAACTGGATGAGATAGTCCCTGGGCAGTCTCTATTAAAGGAGAATGTAGAAGAGCTTCCCTAGGTAGGCTAACAAAGTAGGTTTGGAGGCTGTATTCACTTCTGTAGGTACGGGAACATTCTTCTCTTTTCCTCTCCTGGCTTTTCACAACTGGTAAGCAGAGGCAGTTGTGGTAAGCTGAAATGGGGAGCTGAGGTGACCAAAAAAGCAAGCCTTGTTTTGGTGGGTTGCTTTTGAGGTAGTTGTTTCACAGGTTCTATTTGCCAGGTGGACAGCAGCAGAGGACAGACACAAGGGCACAAGAAGACCAGTGAGGGTGAATCACATCTTTTGACCTGCTGGCCACATTCCTTATGATGCAGCCCAGGATGTGGTTGGCTTTCTGGGCTACAGCGTGCAAAGTGCACATTGCTGGCTCATGCTGAGTTTTTCGATCAACCGTTACCCCCAAATCTTTCTCCACAGGGCTGCTCTCAATGACCTTTAAAGTATTGATAATGGCATTTGAAGTATTAATTGAAACACCGTATTACATGTAGTTGCATTCCAAGAAACTCTTGCAATATTAAAAATGAGGAAGAAAAACCAGATGTTGAATTCAAATGAGCATTGGCACAAGAATCAGTGGATATGAACTGTCTGAGCATGTGCTGCAGACTGCTTACCTGAAACTGAAGTGCCGAAAAGCAAAGGTCTGCAGCAGTGCTCAAATGGACATCACTCAGAGTGAATTTGGAAAGCTTAAGATTGAAAGATCATAGAGCTAGGCTGCCTAACAGGAATCCACCTGGTTTGCCTGAGAAGGCTCCTTTCAGTTTCTGTTCCCACCTCTTTTCTCTTGTAGTCTTACTAGGAAATGCATGTGGAGTTAGGCTTTTCTATGGATTTCTTGATGCTAGGTTCTTTCATTAGCTGTCTTTGCTTCTGAAGCTTCATCACTTGAAATATGTACAGCTCTTCCTATTGGTTAACTTACAGGATAAGAAATGTGTAACATGCAAAGGCTTTGCTGTACAGTTTGGAAATGTATAGGATTATCTTTTTCTTCCACAGACTTGAAAAACAATCCATATGCATTTGTTTCTGAAAGAGAAGGAGAGTCAGAGAATCTCTGTGTGCCTTTGGACTGGGAGTATGAGTGCCACAATTGTTCCTCATGCTCCTTTCAAGGGGTGACTGTTTAACTGTGTGTCGTTTTGCTGGAATATAAGAGACAAAGTGAAGTTTTTCCATATGTACATTGTTAAGTCTGGGGATCCAGTTACCCAGGCAGTTGTTAAAAGCTTGGGAGTTGCCACTCACTGTCAGGAAAGCTTTTTGTTATCTGAAAACTAAAGCACTAAAAATTGTGAACACATTGGGAGGAGTTTTCTCTATCAAGTATGGAGTAAACTTTTGGAGAACCAACTTTACCAAAAATAAACTTTTGCAGGCTTTTGTTTGTCTACATGAGCAGATTGCCATGCTGTTTCTTTGGACCCCTTAGTTACTGAGTTGAACTGTGAATCCAAGGAGATATGCAAAAAGTGCTGGTTGCTGTCTCATTTTGTTAAGGATTAGAGGTAGTTATGGCGGAGTGTCCAGAGAATGGGAGGACAAATTTGTCTACAAACTACTAGGTCCACTTAGTATTTGACACACTTTCAACAGGCTGATTAAGGAAGGGAATGGCAGTTGGCAGGAAGCAGGAATGGTGACAGGTTTCTTGGCTTTATACCTGCCGGCTGACTTATTATGGGAACCTCCCTCAGTGAGTCATTAAATAGTAAATGTCCCACAGTGGGCAGAACTCATGGACAGTATGCATTCAGGCATGGCTTTCATGCATCTGAAATGAAATAGCAAACATTACAAATTCCTTTTTTGATCCTTCTTTGCTATGGGTAAGAGGAGTGGCCTCAGGAAAAGGTAACAGCAAAAATAGTGCTTCGTTGTATTTAGTTGCTCAAACTCTTGCCCATAAATGTAAAACACCGTTTTGGTGCAGTAGAAGTTCTGCACACTTCTCAGGCCCTGTAGGACTCAAGGCACAAAGGCATTGGGGCGCAAAGTGACAGTAAGGGAAGTCTGCCACAGAAATGGTCTGATGTGTTTTGGAATGTCTGTAGCTGCTCAGCTCATTACCTTCTGCAGCAGGTTCTGTTGATCTGCTTCAGTGTAGGGTGGTAAGACTTGGACTTCAGAATTATTTGTACCTTTCTTCTGGAGCGGCTGAAAACAAATTCCTCAGTAGTTTTGAGGAACTGTAGTAGTGAGTGACTAGTGATTTCAGAGCAAAAAAGGGGAAAAGATTTTTTTTTGGAATCATGAAACACTTTCATTACAAGAGAGTGATAAAGCACCTGATTTGCCTTACAACACTTTGATTTTTGAAAGCATTAACTAGTGTGGAAGGTCCTTACCCACCTTATAATAAAAGTCTTTAGCAAAAATGCAACTTGAACAGACCTTAACCAGAAGATGCAAGCTGTGTTGAAAATACATGGAAAGACCTTTGATTTATAGTCGTGGTAGAAGACTGCAAGTCCTGAGGTGCACTTCTCCAGTTGTGATCACGTGTGCTGTGACCGTC